GCCTGGGCAGCGAGACCTCATCTCTACAATAAATAAAAAAATCAGCCGGGCGTGGTAGCACATGCCTGTAATTCCAGCTACTCGGAAGGCTGAGGCGGAACGATTGCCGGAGCCCAGCAAGAGAGGCTGCGGTGGCCGGGAGCGGCCACTGCACTCCAGTCTAGGCGACCGAGTGAGACTCCAACTCAAAAAAAACAAAACAAAAACAAATATTATGGTTACTGATATGTAGCACCTATTAAGGACCAACCATTGCATTGCACAGTAGGTGTGACATCACCAGAGTCAGAGAGTGGCTTTGGCTAGTAGAGACCCAGTATCAGTGCTGACCAGGTTTCTGGCTTTACATAAGTTGTTGGATGCCCTCTCCCTTAATTTTCTCATGTTTTCAACCCAAGATGAATGTTCCTGCCTTGCATCATTGTTTATAAGATATGATGTAAAGATTTGTCCCATGTCTGACATTTACTGGTTCTCCAGTCAAAGACTAAAGATGATATCAAAATAAATGTCCCATTCTTCCTATCACAAGCAGACAGATGTTTTAATGACAAAAATGATACCACTTTATGCAGTCTTTCTTTTATCTTAAAACTCTTTGCTTCCAAGTGTTCTTATTAAACCAAAAAGCTGGCCAGGCTCTGTGGCTCAGTCTGTAATCCCAGCACTTTGGGAGGCCGAGGCGAGAGGATTGCCTGAGCCCTTGGGTTTGAGACCTGCCTGGGCAACTTGGTGAGACCTCATCTCTACAATACATCAAAAAAATTAACTGGGCGTGGCACTGCACACCTGTAGTTCCGGCTACTCGGAAGGCTAAGGCGGAAGGATCGCCGGAGTCCAGCAGGTCGAGGCTGCGGTGGCCAGGAGTGTGCCACTGCACTCCAGTCTGAGTGACAGAATGAGACTTCAACCTAAAAAAAAACAGACAAAAAAAACCCCAAAAGGCCAGAAACAGGAAGGCCTTGTTTGACCTGGTGCTGTCCTTCCTTTGTGGTTTCCTAACTCATCTTCCAAGTCTCTCTGTCTGCCTCCTCTGTTTCTGTTCTAGGGGTCTGCCAGGAACACACCTTCCACTGTAAGGCCTTTGTTTATACTCTTTCCTCTACCTGGGATACCTGCCTTGCTGTTCTTCAAAGCATGCTCAACCATTATGTTCTCAAGATGCCTTCCCTGAACTTGTAGACATAATCAGTCCTTCCTCTTACCTTCCCTCCTTACAACCTAGACTTTGCATAAAAATGTGGCATTGTTGAAGCCACCTAATCAATTGTGCAGTTAGTCTTATCTCTTTGTTCAATGAGAAAAGTTCGAAGAAGGAGCTGAGACTTGGTGTCTGCTGCATTCTGAGCATCTAGTTAAGTTCTGCCCAAAGTAGGAGATGATGAAATATAAAGACACCCCCAAATGAAATTAATTTATAAAAATTGTGTGTTTATTCTTATATGTTTAAACTTCAGTCAGCTTCAAAGTGCTCTCTGGTGCAATACACCTATCGAGACACTTTTTCCACTGCTCGAAACAGTTTTTGAAATCATCAATTTTGATGACTTTTAGTGCTTATACTGTTTTTTGTTTCACCTCGTCCACATTGGCAAAATGTTTCCCTTTGAGAACTTTTTTCAGTCGGGGAAACAAGAAACAGTCATTTTGGGGCAAGTTTGGGTGAATAGAGAGGATGGGCATGGAGGTCATATCGTTTTGGGTCAAAAACTGCTAAACACTCAGCATGGTGTAGGCAGGTACACTTGTAAATCACCCATTATGAAGTGGGAAAATACATTGAAATAATCTCCAAAAAAAAAAATTCACTGAAACCGGTCACAGTCTCTCACAAACTAATGGGTACACTGATGCCTAGAACACTTACCTAGTGGGGGAAGCCTGTACTACAAGAGGCCTTTCCTCCAAAAAGTAATTCCAGTTTTTGGGGGAGGGTCCCTCTTTGTATTTGCTGAATATTGAATAAGTGTGTCCTGTCAGATACTAGCTTGGTAAAAGTGGGCTTTGAAGTCTAGGTCACAGAATTTGGATTTTTGCATTTGTGCAATCTTTTTAAAAATTCAGCGAACACTCTCTGAGTCCAACCATGCACTAGGCATTGTTTCAGACTCTAATATCATCTCATCCATGACTCATGGTGCTACATTTGATGAAAGTGATTTTACAGAAGAAGAAATGAGGCAAGTCACTTCCTCTCCCGAGTCTCATTTTCATGAAATGGAGACAATGATTTCTGTCAGCCAACTCTTAAAGTCATGTCTTCTGGGACAGTGAGGATTGCTCTCTTTACAAAGACAAACAGATGAAGGGTGATATTATTCCTCCCTGGTTCCATGTCATTTGGGGGTGCACAGGGTGAACAGAGTATAGACCTCACAACTCCTCACTTCCTTGGTCTATTGTGTCCAATTCACCACCCATATCTGTTAATAAACAGAAACAATCATATGCAACTTCGCTTTAAGGAAAAATGCAAAAGAGAATGAACAAAGCAAAAGAAAGAAAGTAAAAGTTACACAAATATAGTGAAAGGGCCTAACAGAAGATCCCTCCCCTTTGCTGAAAATGTGTCCTTCTAAGGAAATACTAGGCTATGGATAATGTAGGGTTAGACACGGTTTCCAGATAATGGATTTGGGCTCATGTTGTGTGAGAGTTGCTCTGAGCAGGAATTTCTATATGGTTTCACGTTCATTTTAATGGCAAAGCACCCAACAAAATCAAACCAGCAAGTCTTCTTAATTTCAAAAATAATACTGTCCTTTTAATTTCCTAATGCTTTAAATTTATGCACATTTACCTATAATTTATATTTGCAAGCTAATTTTGCTCATAAGGAAAAAGGGTGGCACTTTGAATATTCTTTTTTTCTCATTTGTTTAACATTTAAAAAGCATTTTACATAGTTTATCTAATTTATTTCTCACTATAAGAAAGTGAGGTGAGCAAGAAAAGTATTATACTTCTTATTTATCTGGTGCAACATTTGAGACTTGAAATGGGGCAGTAATTTGTTCAATATCTCATAGTTTGGAGAAAACAGAGGTTGGTCTCAAACTCAGGTCCTTTAACTCCAGAGCCATTAAACTTTTTCACCATCATCTCATAATCTGCTATACCATTTGTGAAAGGATTGGATTAGGGCATTTTCCTTCTTTATTTATTTATTTTATTTATTTTTTATTTTTGAGTTGGAGTCTCACTCCGTTGCCCAGACTGGAGTGCAGTGGCCGCTCCCGGCCACCGCAGCCTTGGCCTGCTGGGCTCCAGCGATCCTTCCGCGTGAGCCTTCCAAGTAGCTGGAACTATAGGCGTGCGCTACCACGCCCCGCTTATTTTTTGATTTATTGTAGAGATGAGGTCTCGCCAAGTTGCCCAGCATTTTCCTTCTTTAGATGCTCTCTGTTAATAACCTTGTTTCCCATGATTATAATGATAGATACATATATGTATATATAATGTGTAGATATATACACATATGTATATTTGTGTGTGTACTTACACACACACACACACACACACACACACACACACACATACACACTCTCATCATTTAAGAAAAAGTCATAGCCAGGCATGGTGGCTCCTGCCTATAATCCCAGCACTTTGGGAGGCTGAGGTGAGAGGATTGTCTGAGCCCACAGGTTCAAGAACAGCGTGGGCAACTTGGTGAGATCTCATCTCTGCAATAAATCAAAAAAGTAGCCGGGCATGGTGACATGTATCTATAGTTCCAGTTACTTGGAAGGCTGAGGCAGAAGGATGACCAGAGCCCAGCAGATCAAGGCTGTGGTGGCTGTGAGCGTGACATTGCATTTCAGCTTAGGGGACAGAGTGAGACTCCAACTCAAAAAAAAAAAAAAGAAAGAAAAAGTCATTATGATTAGGGGACTAGAGAGTCATTAACAGAGACCCTTTGTATTTTTTTTAGGATACACATGTATACATTTGTGTGTGTATATTTCAAAGGTATAAGAAGAACATGCGCTTGGAAAAAAAACCAGCATAATTGGAGTCATTAAGGAAAAAGGGAGAAAAAACAAAATGAAATGAAATATCTATCTGTGGCTACAAAGCCTGTATTTGTGGACTAGGCATGGAGGTCCTGCCTTCCTCCTGCATCGGCAGTGACCGAGTGGGTCTCTGAATCCTGAGGGAGACCCAAGAACAGTGATTGATGGGCTTTGTTCCTACTGCCTGGATGTGAGCCTGGGTGAAATCACAGCTCAGAGAAAGACTGGGGTCTCTTTCATAAGGGTCCTAATTCCATTCATTAGCACTCTGCCTTCATGACCTGATCACCTCCCAAGAGTCCGGCATCCTAATACTTGAGGGTTAGGATTTCTACATATGAACTTTGGGGGAGGATAGAGGCATTCAGACCATAACGTCCTGGTGCATGAGACGGGGCACCAAACAGGATAAAGTATAACCCTTTGGCCTTGCTAAGAAAGAATGAGGCAGAGAGAGGAGAAGTCTGAGAGGCTGGAATGCATTTGATCCTGGGGAAGTGGCCTGTCTTTGCTCACAGGTTCTATAGCCAAACAAAGTCCCTGAGGATCTGTGAGTCTGAGAACCAGGAACTCAGACGCCCCCCCACTTCCCTTTCTGGCTGCCTGGCTAGACAGATTCCACCTCCTCCAACAGAGAAGTCAATGCCATGGACATTCCAGAGGCAGCCCCTGCCCCCCAGAGCTGGATTGGGCTCCACCATGGCCAGGCCTTACAGTTGAAGTGCTATCAGCCAATGGTTAAGAGAAGAGCTTTGGAGCCCAGCCCCTAGCTGTGAGCTCCCTTGGCTACTTACCAGTCATGTGGCATCGAGTTAACCTCCCAGAGCCTGGGTGTCTTCGGCTATTGCATGATCAAAGTATCCTGTTTGTAAGTTCTTGTGAGGAAGAAATTAGTTAAATTTACAAAATAGTCGTGAACTTTTATTACGCTCTCAAAAAAATACATATTTTTTTACTAAATCTTAGAATTGTATATCAAATGAGATCATATGTATGAGCACTTCACTGAATCTGAGAAACTATTGAAAAGTAAGTTAAACTTTATTTTTGGTAAGATATTAGTCTAGAATAGATCTGTGGGTCTCTACCAGGAGAAATTTTGCCCCCATGCCCAGTGAACATTTGCCAGGCTCTGGAGGCATTTTTGTTGTCACAGTTGGCATCTAGTGGGTGGGTACCAGGGTTGCTACTCTGCATCCGGCAATCAACGGGACAGTCCCCACCTCAGAGTTGTCCAGGATGCTCCCTCCAGGAAGATTAACCATGACTTGTTCTAGAACTGGGGAAAGAAAGACGTGTCCATGGAAACAGCATGTTTCAACAGTTTTCCGAGTTTCATTCCTTCTGCATTTATGGAATACCAGCTACACTGCAGGCACCATGGTGGGAACTGAGGTGAAGGGATATGTCTGTGTTTCCTCACTGGAGACCTCGTGAGGAAAATATAAGGAGGATGGAAGGGTAGAAGCTGGTGGCCTAGAGTTGAGCAGATGGGGAAAGATGAAGAAATGAGAGAGTGATGTAGATAACTTTTTCCAGAACCTTAAATGGAAGGAGAGTGGGGAGAGAGAAAGAGAGACTGCTAAGGTCCCGGTTGGGCTGTGCAATCAGGAGGCTTTGCCTTGGTGGTGGGTGGGGGTTTATGTACTGACTTGAGAGAGGCAGGAGGGAGCTCGGATGCCTCTGTTCATGACACAGAGGAAGATGGAAGGACAGCTGGCCTGAGAGTGCTCTGAGAAGGAGCAACAGTATGAATCCTGGTGAGGGAATTGGGCCTCCCAAGGAGGGAATTAACAATTTTCATTACTGAATTTGGAAGAGGATGGGCAGCTCCAGGACTGGCTGGGTTAGGGCCTCAGGGAGCTGAGGACTTCCCAGGTGAGGGGCAGGCTCCACAGGCTGGGTAGGAACTTGGGGCTTGGTGGAGAGAAGAGGAGGTCCTATGTCTTGGTCCATTCTAGCTACTATAACAGAGTGCCGTACGCTGAGGGGCTTATAAACACCATTTCTTTCTTATGGTTCTGAAGGCTGGGAAGTCTAAGACCAGATTCTCATAGATGCCATCTTTTCACTGTGTTCTCTCACAGTGGAAGGGGTGAGGGAGTTTTCTGGGGTCTCTTTAATAAAGGTACTCATTAGCACTCTGCCCTCATGACTTGATCACCTCCCAGGAGCCCCACCTCCTAATACCATCACCTTGAGGGTTGGGATTTTGAATTTTGGAGGGATACACACACTCAGACCACAGTATCTTGGTGCATGGGGTAGAGCACCCAGCAGGATAAAATCTAACCATTTGTCCTTGCTAAGGAGAAATGGGGCAGAAAAAGGAGAAGCCTGGGAGGCTGGACTGCATTTGATCCTGGGGGAGCGGCCATTTAGTATTTACTGTTGGCTTTGTCCATCAGAGTGGCAACAGAGAGATGGAAACAGACACGTACCGTGGGGCTGGGTTTGAGGATGCTAAGGACAATGAAGGGGCTGTGACAATGGCCTACAGAAAATCACATTAAGGCCCTGGTCTAAGGACAAAGTAGTAAAGTCAGGCCAAGAAACTGGATTGTAGAAATATTTAGGAATCACATGGGCAGGACATAGTGACGAGTGGGATGTAAGTGCTCTCTTTGTCACCTTCCTGCTCTCATCACTAAGCCTGGTGTGTCTGTCTCCTTTTTTCTCCAGGGATGTATTCCCCCAAGGTTTGCCTGATGAGTATGCTTTTGTCACCACCTTCCGGTTCAGAAAAGTGTCTCGGAAGGAAGACTGGTATATCTGGCAGGTCATCGACCAGTACGGAATCCCACAGGTATGGGCAGAACTTCCTTGTGTCGGTGGCTCCGGGCTTTCTGCTTCCCTTTCACAGGGGATGATATCACTCATCCTGTTTTCTCCAAGGGTCTTGATCCTGGGCCTAGACAGATTGAGAGTCTGGTGTATAGCGGCTCAGAGAACCTGCAAAGGAATGTCACAGGACCCAAGAGGTCCAGTATCTTATCCCAATTATATGAGGCCATCTGGAAAAAGGAGACCTAGTTCTTGCCCTCAGAGACTCCCAGCCTAGCCAGAAAGTGGAAGTCAGCTCTACTGTCCTATGATACCTGCTATATTAGTGGCATGAGTGACACAGCTTCATGATGTAGTAGAAGAAACTGCCTCAGGGTCTCATAGACTTAGGTTCAAATCTGTTATCTACTCTTTTCTTGATGTGGCCCCTGAAACCATTTACTTTATCTTATCTTTCTGAGTCTTGATTTTCACGGCAGTAAAATGGAAAACAGACAATACCTACCATAAATGGTTGGCAAAAGAACCAGATGAAATAATGTCCTAAAGCATCTAGAACATAATAGAATATAATAAAAGCTCATCAAAAGTAGTTCCTTTTTAACTATATTCTTCAGTTTTCCTAGGAATGAAGCCCTGGGTCCTTTCTTCACCCACCTCTGGTGTGTTTTGGTTTTCAGTTCCCAAGAAGGTAGAACAATCCTTCAATAGCACACAGTCCAGTGAGGACAAATCTCAGAATCAAAGTCATCAACACAATCTGCTGATTTGAAATGAAACAACACTACATTTTGTTCTCTGCCAAATCCAGATTCCTTTGTTTTTAGAGCCCATGTGCCAGCCAGGTCTTCTTCCTCTCATGGGAAAATGAACTGTATGAAGGCATTACTCACCTTCAGTAATGAGAGATACTATCTGCATTTTCACTTGGGGTTAAAATAAAATAAAATAAACACACGCTCAAGCAATTGGTCTCCAACCACACTCATGAACTGCCCTCTCAGAAGGCAAGTTTTTCCCAAGCAGTGAACTCGCCTTCTGGGTTAAGGCTAGATCCTGGCATGACATGCATTTGCTTATCAACACACATGTGCTCTTGATATGAGCTAGGGAATGTTCTGAGTGCTTTACTAATCTTAGCTAATTTAGTCTCACAACCCCGTGAGTAGTTTCTGCTATTAGTACCGCACAGGTGAGGAAACTGAGCCACAGAGAGGCTAAGGAATTTGTCTAAGTCTTCACAGGTAACAAGAGCGGGGGCTGAGATTTAGACTTTGGTAGTTGGGCTCCCACATCTTGTGCTTTTAACCATATGCTCAGCTGGCTCCTGTTCTAAGCCTTTCCTGGTCAATTATTCACTTATTGAGTGATTTTCCTGTGACATCCCTGGTCATACTGAAGCTACATAGGCATGTTCAAGCTTAATTGCTGAGAGACTTGAATTCGAATATGTGGGAGGTTGAATGGAGATGAGACTCTTCTCCAGAGGTCATTTTTCTGGAAAGCAGGCAGCTCATCATGTTCCCGTCCAGTATCATCTCTAGTGACACTGGTCTTGCTTCTCCGGTTTCTCAGGGTCTGGTGTGATGGGACTGGGTACCTGCCATGACATTCTTGTGGGGTGATCCCATACCACCCCCTCCGTCTGGGTTCTCTTCCTTCATGGCATTTGCAGAGCTGTGTGCTCCTTGTCTGCCGTGTGTATTTCCTCTCTGCCTTCTGTCAGAATCAGCTGTGGGCTGAAATACCACCGAGCCGTGCAGAGATTTGAGTCTGTCTTGAAAGTCTTGAGGTTCATGTTTGAAGAGAGGCATCTGGCAATTCACTTTCATGAAGCCAGGCTTGGTTGAGTGCCCTCCACTGGAAGCATGGATGAGGATCACCTCCATGCCTTGGGGAAATACTAGCTAGATGCAGGAGAAATGAATAAAGGCCTGCAAGAATATGCTCTGTGAGCAGAGCGGTTTTGGTTGCATATGCCCATGGCCTCTGTCAGTCACTGTAGACCTGCAGATACAGATGCTCATATATAGATGTAGATGCTCATGATTTCATTAGCAATTTATAACCACCCTTGAAAGCTGGCCTTTCCCTGATTTGTCATTTGGGAAAACTGTGGGGCATTTACTCCTTCCAGGTATGATGGGACAGGATGGAGGCCGAGGTGGCTGGAGCACAGTATGATGTGTTTGCTTTTTGGGAGCTAGTTAGAAATGCAGTTCCATTACCTACACAATGACCATTTATATACCTAACCCTGAACTGTATACCACATCTTTAAAAAAAATAGATTAAGGGCCAAAAAAAAAAAAAAAGAAAAGAAAAGAAAAAAGAAATGAGGTTCCAGAAGTAAAAGGGGACTGAATTTCACAAATCCTTATAGGCCAGTATAGGGAACTTTTGTTTGAAAGTAGACACCGGCAAGGTATACAGCCCTAGAAACAGGGGGACTAATTAGGAAACTATGGAAGTCCAGGTAAGATGATGCTGACTCAGACCAGGTAGTAGTAGTGACACTTGAAGAAATAGTTAGATGGATTCTGGATATATTTTGAAAATTGAACCAGCAGGATTTGCTGATATATCTGACATATAACAAGTCTTCCCCACACCCACCCAGCTAGCATTGATAGACACAAGGTTTTGGCCTGCTTAGTGCCTTCCCCTGCTCTATATCATGCTAAGGATAGAACATCGGAGGGAAAGCCATGTCCCCAGCAAGAGCTGAAGGTGATGAAATGGTCTGAGCAACAATCGGGTGCTTTTCTCTTGCCAATAATTGCAAGAGGCAGAGACTGGGAGAAAAGGGAGTGTTTAATTTCTATAACCAGATTATAGGGAGACTGGTTAGCATCATGGCCAAAAAACCCACTCAAAGCAACACAGATTCATTTCAGCATTTATACTCAAAATTCATAGCCCTTTACCCACCTTGAGTTTGAAGGCTACATGCAGTTTTAGCATGACTCAGGATTTACATAAACAATTTTTGATATGTGACCACTGACGTGACACAAAGTCTCCTGGTCCTGCTGACATTTTAGACAACATTTTGGAATTTAGAATATTTTTTTACAGTTTTCCAGAGAAAGAGGCAGACAATTTTAACATTTGGAAGGAAGAGAAAATGACAACATTTAAAATGAAAGCTTTAAATTGTTTTAAAACAGAGTCATAACAGTCTCCTATTCCCAGAGCCTTGGCCTATACCAGTCCGATGTTCTCGAATTCACAGATGGAAGGGAGGTAGGCAATGCTCCCACCAAGTTTTTCAGACACACTTTTGGACTGCTCTCCTAATTATTAGGTGATCTGGCTTGCTGGCTATTTCTTTTTCAGCACCAGCAATGGCTTACTATTAATAGATAAGATTGGCCTTCCAGATTAATCAGGCAAAGCTGTGCTGGGAGAGGAAAACAGGGGTTAAGGGCAGTGGGGAGTGGGGAAGAAAGATTGTGCACTTTTAAATTCAAGTGGCTTCTGCATTCAGCCTGACTCAATTACAAAGAACTGTTTCTTAGCACAGTATTTTAGACTTTTCTAAATGACTGTTCTAATATAACCCAAATGTCCTCTTTTCGGCCTAAAACAGTGGTTCGGGACACAGCACTCAAACACTTGGAACTATTCTCAAGAAACAGGAGATAGTGTTTAATAATGAAAGTATTAGAGTATGTGTATTAGACGTATTAGATTATGATTATGAGACAGTGGTTCATAGTTTTCTGTTTTTTTACCCTGCCCAAAACATAAAAGCAGGCACTGCAATTACAAAATAAATTCTAGTTCATTTTTTGTTGTATTGAAGCCATGTGGAACCCAGACGGAGAAGACCTGGGCTGTGTAATAAATACTGTGACTGATCCCCTGCACTACGTACGTGGGCACCTTCCTTTAACCTCAGGGATCCTCAAACATTTGTTCATTTATTCATTCATTCAATATGCTTTTATTGCATGCTATTATGTGTCATATGTTGTTCTAGCCATAGGGGTTACGGAGATGAACAAGAGAAACAAAGCACTTTTCTAAAAGCATGAAGTAGGGCAGACAATAAGCAGGTGAATGAAAGAAATGAACAAGTTAATTTCATACACTGATGCTGTGCTATGATAAAAGTAAATAAATCAATATGCCTGAGGATGTGAGAACAAATGACCAGATTAGAAACCAATCATATGTGTTTATCAGAGAAGGTTTCACTGCCATTATGTCTTTGAACTTACTTGCTTAATTTACTATAACTAATATTTAGAACAGTGCCTGGCATATAATAAACAATACATTTTTGGCATGTATATTAATTCATTTAATCCTCATAACAAGTCTATGATATAGGTGCTACTATTGGTCCCATTTTACAAATAAGGAAAGAGTACAGGGAGGTTAAACAAGTCACACAGCTTAAACATTATTTATTGGTTTGAGTATAGACAGACAACAGATCGCCCACTGGGCCTACATTTTTAAAGAGTGCTTTAATGAAGTGACTAAGGTTAAGGGAGCTGATGTGGTTAGGATGATGAGTTAAGGAAACCAATAAGGAAGGTGGAGGCATCTTGGGATTAGCAGCAGCAGGAAGCTACAACCTGGGCCTGGATGGGCTAGGGGCAATGGTGGTGCTTATGGGAAATGGGGAGCTTTGGAGTCATGGGATGGGGAGAGCTCCCAAGGAACCTGACACATAAAAGAACAAAGCCACTCTGGAGCCACAGGGAAAGTGAGAGGGGTGGGAGGAAGAAATAACTCGTCTCTCTTCCTGCTCTTTGATCTCCACTCTAATGGGCTCCTCATGGGTCAAATTCAACCAGAAGCCAAAAGTCCCAGGAGCTGAGGTAAAGAAGTTCTTAAAGTTCAGCTTCTCTGAGCAGGAAGCTGTAGGGAGGGGCAGAACATGAATATCAGGTCACACAAAGACTAGCCCCACAGAGATGGAACAAGAACATATCCATTTATCCATTCATTGATTCATTCATTTAGTGAATACTCATTTTCCACATGTCACAGTATGCCCCCTACCTTTGGACACAAATAGATTGTTTATGTTGCCCACTGTGGCATTCCTGACAACCAGCATGTTGCTGGCCCGTCACACATATGTCAGCGAATATTCTAGAGGGGATGAAGAAATGAGTACATGGATGAGAACATATTTATTAGTTCATTTTTTTGAAAAGTAAGCAAATGTAAAAATTTCTCCAGAGTTTGCTCTGTACCACAGGCATTTTGTAAAGGGCTGAAGGTACCGGTGACCCAGTCAGAGGAAGCTCTCACTATCAAGTGACTTTATTCTGCCGGAGCGCCAACTTTATCCTCAAGATGAGAAACAGTGCAGGTTAACAAATGGGGGTCTCAGACTGGTACCTGGCATCTGACCAGAAGATGTATGTGGTTTAGCCAGTTCAGGGTTTTAAAAGACACTGGTCTCATAACTCAAGCCCCTCAGTACCAGTTGTCTTGCCATCTCACAAAAACTCTCTTACCCTCATAATCACTCTAGGCAATTGAGTTTGTGACTCCTAAGTTAATGTATGAGTTCAATTATTCCATTTAATACAGGGTTTAAGACATTATTAACACCATTGTAGTGAGGAAATCAAGGCTGAGAGATGTGAAGTGACTGGTTCAAGATCAGACAGCAGATGACCAGTGGGTAAGAGTCACAGCCGGGATCTGACTCACGCTTGTCAGGTCTGACTCCAAACTCTCAACCCCATTCTCTTTTCTTCCCTTGGTCCTCTGAATCTCAAGGAGTCTCTGATCCTCTCTTCCCCAGGTCTCTATCAGACTGGATGGTGAGAACAAGGCGGTCGAGTACAATGCGGTGGGTGCCATGAAGGATGCTGTCAGGGTGGTCTTCCGAGGCTCCCGGGTTGACGACCTCTTTGACCGAGACTGGCACAAGATTGCCCTGAGCATCCAGGCTCAGAATGTCTCCCTGTACATCGACTGTGCACTGGTGCAGACACTACCCATCGAGGAGAGGGAGAACATCGACATCCAGGGCAAGACTGTGATTGGCAAGCGCCTCTATGACAGTGTGCCCATTGACGTGAGTACCAATAAGAACTTCTGCAGCCAAGGTTCTGGGGCCACTAGGGAGGGATCTTGGGAGCCAGGTGCTCCTGATATCCCCGTTACCTGCATGTACCATGTATCAAGTTATCACCTTGGACGGTCTTAGAAGACAAGACCTTGACTGAAAAAACCTGCCATACTGAAACTCAAGTTCACCATCACTCATTTATTCACTCAGTCAGTTATTCAGTCATTCCATCAATTACTCATTGCATATGTATTGAGTACCTACCATGTGCCATCTGTGCTCAGCACTGGGGACACCAGTACCCACAAAGGAAAGCAAGACTGACTTAGCCCTGGATGCACAAATAATTCTAGGGAAAGACAGTTCCCAGATCTGCAAAGGTCATTCACACACACACACGCACACATCTGTCTGTGTGTGTATATGTATACAAATATATGAAAGTAGATGGAAAGATTAATAGTTTTCTGTAAATTTAAATACAGACTTTTTTATTTCTTCCCTGATTGTAGAAATTTTGAAAACTATAGGAAAGTATATGGAAAATAAATGACAGTCATCCTCATTGCACCAGCCAGGGATAATAACTGCTATTAACTTAACATCTGTCTTTCCATCCTGATTCCATCCTTGTTTTTTCCTTCTTTTATTTTTTATCTTCTCTCCTTATTTTTTCTTCCCCTTTTCCTTTAAGTTTTCTTTCTTTCTTTCCTCTAGAAATACATACTCATATCTAGCCACAGAGACACATACACCATAAATGTGTGCATACACTATACATACACATTGTATAGTGATCCACAAGTGCTGGCTTCAAGCTGAAGTCAACCTAAGCTACTATGCCCAAGAGCATTCTCCACTTCCTGAGAAATAATAGATAACATGATTTGGAGATAGCTTTTCCCAAAATCACTTTTATATTCATATATGTGTAACTATAATCAAATATAGTGTCATTAGGTATAGGATGAATTTTTTTGAAATGGATGTAAATAATATGTTGTATGTATATCTACATCTTGCTTTTTGTTTCATTTATTCAAAAGTATGTATCTAAAGCTGGTCACTGTGGTACATGCCTGTAGTCCCAGCTACTTCGGAGGTTGGAGCAAGAAGATTGCTTGAGGCCAGGAGTTCAGTACCATCCTGGGCAATATAGTAAGGTTCTGTCTCAAAAACAAAGTGTTAAGGAAAAAAATATGTGTTTATGCTTTTAGTCTTTCTTTTAGCTGTTCCTAATATGCTTTTAGTCTTTCTTTTTAGCTATTCCTAATACTTTATTTTATAATATGTTTTATTTATTCATTCACCTGTAAGTGATATTTAGATTGTTTCTAATGTATCACTGTCACAATTAGCAAGCCTAGGGCCTTGAAAAAGGTGCCACATCTCCATGTACCTTCCTCATGAGAAAAATGTGAGTTATACTTGACTTTTAGGCTTGAAATATGATGACTGAAGAACATTTCTCTGAGGTATGTACCCTCAGGCTTAATGAAAGAGCTGTAGGGTATACAATTTTTTACTTTCTCACATATTTTAAATTTATCTACAAAGTGGCATTTTATATCTACCAGCAATGTATGAATATCTTATTTTCTTAAATATATGTACAGATATGTTTTATTGTTGTTTTGCCAATCTGATGGGCAAACAAGGGAATTAGTGTGGCTTCTTCTGCAAATGCCTGATTACCATTGAGGTTGGAAGTCTTTCTGTGTGTCAACTTGGTTCCCCCTTGGTTTAATTCTGGGTCTTATCTTTTGCCTGCTTCACTACTATGCTATTGTTCTTTGCTTAATGATTTCTAGAAAATTTTTATATATGCTGCATATTAATTCCTCCTTTGTGATATATGTTGCTAATAGTGTTTTCTGGTCTACCAACCATAAACCATAAAGAAAAAAAAAACGGATAAGTTTGAATATATAAAATTTTAAGAAATGGCGCTATGGCAAATGACATCATAAACAAGGTTATGGACTTTCAAAACTGGCTTGCTTAACTAAACAATAATCGTAAACATTCCACGTGTATACTAATGTTTAAAATCTAAGCTAAGAGGGTTGGTCAGAGCTGAGAGTGTGTTGGTCAGAGTTGGAAACTTGGAATTGGAGAGACAGGAGGACATACACATGCTCAAACTACAGCTCATGTGCCAACTCCATGCCCAGTCACTGTGATGACATAATTAATGTCACACACTGTTTGCATTTCTCAGCTTCTGTTTATCTGTTTGTTTAATCTCTGAAATGAAAATCATGTACTGTTTGTTTTGACATGCAGTTGCTAAGGGGAGGAAATAAGAGAATAGATATGGAAATTAAATAAAAAATAAAAATTACAGTAAAGCTATAATGAGTATTATTCTACTCATTCTAGCTAATTGTGCATAGACTCTGTGCTGAGCATTGAACTAGAGTGCTCCCTTATCCCATTTCTGATCACATCTTTATAACCTTAGAAAATAGATACAGTTACCACTCTCACTTCACAGATGGAGAGAGAATCTCCTAGAGAAGGTGAGTGACTCATTGAAGATCACAGAGCCAACAAATCTCAATTAGGATTTCTGCTCAAACAGCCCGCTTTCAATATCCATCTGCAGATCACTCCTTGACTATGACAACAGGCATCAAGGGGCTGGAGAAAATGGAGCTATGGAGTGTTCATGATGCAAATAAAGATCGTTATGATCGCCCTCACAGTGTGTATCGTGGTCACAAACTTTCTTAATCCTAAATACAGGCCAGGGAGGTGGGTATTACTCCCATTTTATAGGTGAAGAGATTCCAACTTAGTCACATTAAGTGGCTTACTTAAATCCTGCCCCACCCCAGACATTCAGGCTGGTTGGCCCGTGGACATATCTCTTTCCACACACAATACCCTAGTGTAGCAGAAGTGCTCAGTCCCCCCTCCCAAGTCCTCACCAAGTGCTACTAATTGCCAGCACCTACCTGCCTGCCTGAGAGCTTTCTCTGGCTGCCAGAGACAGTGCTATCCATTACCAAGCAGGCATCAACACCTCTAGGAGCAGCCTGCAGGCAAGGACTGGTGGTAACTGGAGTATCAGTATCCCAGCTCCCTCACCTCTCAGCATTTTAACTCTTGAGTCACATGTTCTTGACCAGCCCTTATATAGCCTTATATGAAGGTATAAGGCTATTTGATACCTATAACACTTATAAAGTTTTGAGACTGTCTTCATTTTGTAAATTCAGAAACTTTGGCCCAGTGAGGCTAAATTCATTCACTTAATAAACATATATTTTATTGTATACTTTACAGAAGAATAATGATATATAGTGTAATGAACACACAGATCTTAAGTGTGCACTTTGAGGTATTCTGTCAAGTGCATAACCCCATGTAACCACAAAATATTTTAAGTGGCCCCAAATCTTCCAACTAGTCAGGGATGGAGAAGGGATAGTAAATGGAAAACCTTAACCCACCCCCCAAAACCTGCAGCCCCTGCATAGCAACCAGGCCCTTCAAGGCAGCCCATATCAGCAGTTACTGTGTCTAGGGGTTAATGTGCCATGAGGGTTGTGAGGATTCAGTGGAATTATCCTCATGAAGTAAGTACTCAGAAGTGTGTTGGGCACATGGATGGCTCCCAGCTGTCTACCCTGGGAGAACACAGGCTTCATCACAATGGCTGCTGGTGTCTTGTTCATCATTTCCATTATCTGACACACAGTAGACTATCAACAATGTTATTTTTAATGAATAGAAGGAGATCACTGACTTTAAGGAAGCTATAGTTTCCTGTGAGAGAAAGAGTCACGTTGTGATTATTTCAATCTAGTTAAATAAGCCCCACATAGGCCGGGCTCAGTGACTCAGTCTGTAATCCCACGCCTTGGGAGGCTGAGGTGAGTGGATTGCCTAAGCCCGTGGGTTTGAGACCCGCCTGGGCAACTTGGTGAGACCTTATCTCTACAATAAATCAAAAAATTAGCCGGGCGTGGTAGCGCGCTCCTGTAGTTCCAGCTACTTGGAAGGCTGACGCGGAAGGATCGCCAGAGCCCAGCGGGTCGAGGCTGCAGTGGCCGGGAGCGGCCACTGCATTTCAGTCTGAGCAACAGAGTAAGACTCTAACTCAAAAAAAAAAAAAGCCCCACGTAGAAATAAGCATCAGCTATCACAGGGTCCAGAGGAGACGAGCAGGGTAGGTGTATGAGAAAGGTAGGAGGGGTGGGCAGGATGTCATCCTGGAGGAAGTATTCCTGGGATAGGCCTTGAAGGATGAACAGGACTTGTCTGTGTAAAGAAGCTAGAAACCCTAAGGTAACACACAGCTTTGTGTGTGAAGCATTGTGGGGTGAGATTAAGCACAGGTGTGGGGTGAGGCAGCAAGGCCAGCAGGACCAGGTGCTTCTAGGCACAGGCCTTGGAAATCAACCTGTAGGTGAGGCAACACCAGGAGGGTTAAGTGGGGCACTGAGTGGTTTGTGCTTGAAGAATTTCTCTGGGGCTTCAGAGAGCAGGAGTAAGGACAAGGGGAGGAGAAGGAGGTAGCTGGGGACAGAGCTGGGAAGGGATGAGGGTGGCTGAGAGTGTAGGTGTGCAGGGCTTGTGTGCAGAGGCAGGGGGTGTATGCTGGCCCAGAATGTTGTGTGGTCCTGGTGATATGTAGCTGAGGGACGGGGGTGCAGAGAGCTGATGGGCATCTGGACCAATGAACGGGGTGCCAGTCCCTGAGCTGTGAGAGCACAGGGGAGAGGAGCACACTTACACCCATGGGGTATGGAGGGTGCATTCCTGGACGGGGCTCCCTGGGCTCTGAGGCTGAAGCTTGTCAGGAGACCTGAGACACTAAGTTCCCTTTCTCACCCTCTGCGGAGGCCCCTGGGTCTCCTAGTTTCATTTCCTGCCCTTTGCCCAGCTCTCTGCCTTTCTTCAGAGACTGGGAGATGGAGTTGGCCGGGCTGACAGGCCATAACCCTCTCAGGAACTTCAGGGATTCATTTCTCTCTATGCCCTGGCCCCACATCCTAAATCAGGACCCCTAACCTTACTGTGGGCAGTGCAAGCCCAGAGTGGACCCTCCTTCCATGGGGGTCGGTGTCTGGAATTGTATTGGGCTGGCTACTGCATTGGCTGCTCTTGTACCAGCTCACCCCAGAGCCGTGATTCATATTTAGGGAGATAATTAAACAGAGACAAGTACACTGGTGCCTTGACTGGGGGCACATATGCTGGCTGATTTTTTTCTTTTTTTCCTTCCATCTTAGTTTTTGTGAGGCAGGCTCAGGTCCTATATAGATGCTGATTGGTGACCACAAGCATAATAACAGCAAATGTCTAACTATCTCTTGACCAACTATGTTCCAAGTAGTTTAAGTGTGTTAATTTTTAAAATCCACATTACATCCTGTGAGGTCACTTGTCCCATTTAGTAAGAAAATTCAGGCACAGAGAGATTACATAACTTGCTCCAAGTGGAAAAATTAATAATCAGTTCACAGTCTGTAAGTTTAGTCTTTTACTTTGAGTCTGAAATGCTAGGTTTTTTTTCTGGCCTGACTCTTAAATTTTGTAATTATGTTGGGTCAGTAACTGGGCCCATTTCTCCAATAGTGAGGAGTCTGAGGACTCAGGTGGAGTTTTAGCTTTCCCTCCTTTTCCAACTGGCATTAACTGAATGTCTATTTGATACTAAACTCTGGAGAATCCTAGAGCCTCTGACATGTGTCCACAGGAGTATACCTATGGATTCTTCCATGCTGTGTTTGTATATTAAAACAAAGTATTAGTGAAATATACAGGAGAATCAATCCATTCTCTAACTCCTAGTACATCTTCCAGAGGCATCAGCTGGGGTACTTGTAACCACTGTGGGGAGAGACTGCAGCCTTCCTGAAGCTCCATCTGTGGCCAACATTGTGCTTTCATGGGTCCTGTTTTCCTCTGTTTCCACCACAGCCCTAGGAGTCCTTCTTACAGAAAAACAAGAGTCAAGGTGTCTTGACAAGCTGATATGAAAGAGGAGCAGAGCTGAGGCTAGACCTGGCCTGGTTGATCTGGCCTCCAGGCTGTCTGCACTCTCTAATTGGTTTCCACACTACAGTCAGCAAAGGGTCATTAAGCTGCCAACTGGTGGAACATGGAGGGAAGCCGGGAACCTGGCAGCTGAGTCCACCGATGCAATAGTTCGACCAGTATTGCCAAGCGTGGAAATATGAGCGTGAACTTCAGACAGGAGTTGGGGGGAGCAGGGGTGATATCAGGAGGTAGAATCCCAGTTCTGGAAGGAGGATGGAGAGGGAGAGGAAGGATTAGAGTCTCTGGTGGAATGGTGGGATTTCAGGCAGTTGAAGAGGTTCCCCTGCTTCCTAAGTCCTCTCACTTTCCCCCACCCCGAGGTTCAGGCCCCAGGCCAGCTGTGCTCTGTCCTTGGCCCGACTTCCCTGTCTCTCTCTTCACCACCCCTGTCTCCCTGCAACCTTGCCAGATGGGCCCAGCTGCTCTGAATGTATGTTTGCTAATGAAGAAAGCAGGATTATCTCTCAAAAACAGGTTTTGTTCAAAATCACAATTTTGCATTCTGCCATTTTTCTGTTTCTGGGCAGTGTCACTACAGGAAATACAATAGACAGATAAATGGAATTGTTATTGTTTCTGCTGAACAAATTCAGTGAGGTGAGGGATTGTGCTTCAAGGCACACTTTGTGAAGTCGGGAGGATGAGGTCGACCAGCTACTGTGTGTTGAGGGATTCCAGAATCCAACTCTAGCTGGAGTAGGGCACAGGTCAGGAGCAAGCCTCGAGTGCTTTGCATCAGTGCTCAATGAAATAAGTGTCCCTTCATCCACTGATTCAGCTCATGTTCCAATTGATAAACTTCCATCCATCATTCACTCATCCACCCAGCCATTCATTGTATGCTTATGGCACATCTGCATGTTGGGAACTGCTCTAGTGAAGGACAGGAGACAGGAGACTCTTAGAGTCACAGAGTTTATGCTTTAGTAGGGAAGACATCTTAAAAAGCGAGCTAAGAAACATCAGCCAACAGATCCATCGGAGGAAGTGCCATTAGGATGATGTTCAGGATGTGGAATTAGAGTGACAGCGCCTGGGCTTGGACAGGTAGCTGAGGAGGTGAAAGACAGAGGAGCTAGCCATGGGGAAGCAGAGCGAGGAAACTTCATCCTAGGCAATGGGACTTGTCAGAGCAAAGCACACAGGAAGCAATTTTAGTGTTGGAGGGTATGGGTCAGGATGAAGCATGAAACCAGTATGGCAGCAGGTGTGGCACACTAGGGGTGAGCTCAAGCCACATCCTGCAGGATCTGGGGAGAGCTTGAGTTTGACCATTGCTCCTCTACAATGCCAAGAGCCTTAGCCTCATGCTTCAGAAGGCAGCAGTGCCTGGGATTCAGTCTCTGCTCTCAGGAATCCTGGGCCCAGAAGGAAGATGGACACACAGACATCTAATGACCCTACAGACTGCTATGGCTGATGTTGACTGAGTGCACAAGGTGCAGATGTGGCACAGAAGAGGGCCTGATGAACAACTCTCCTTGACAGTAGAGGGAGATGTATCAGTTATCTGTGTCTGCATAACGAGTGATCCCATCCAGAAGCAGATTAAAATGATACACATGTGTTGTCTCGCAGATTCTGTGGTTCAGGAATCAGGGAGTGGATTAGCTGGGTGGTTCACTCAGAGTCTCTCATGAGGCTGCCCTCAAGCTGTTGGCCAAACTGCAGTCATCTCAAAGCTCAAATAGGGCTGAAAGAGCCACCGCCAAGCTCACTTGGGGACTGTTGGCAGCTTTCTATGGGCTATTGAACTGAGGGCCTCAGTATCTTGCTAGTTGGTTATTGGAACCATCCTAATTCCTCTCCACATGAGCCTAACCACAGGGTAACTCACAATGGCTGTTGGTGTCCCCCAGAGCAAGTGGTATTGTGAGTAGATGATGCTTAGGACCTCTCTGAATTTCAGTGTGGTGCTCAGGGTAGGACTGGCCCAGGAGTGGGCTCAGAAGGACCCCACGGAAGAGATGAGATGACATCCGGGCAGGGCCTGTCTGAAACCTGAAGATTTATGGGTTCCAAAGTCCCTAAATTTTGTCTTCTCTTTTGGTCTTCCTTTCCAGTTCGACCTACAGCGAATTGTGATCTACTGTGACTCAAGGCATGCAGAACTGGAGACTTGTTGTGACATCCCCTCTGGTCCGGTGAGCAGATTCTTGCTTGGAGAGGAAGGGAGAAAATGGGTGTCTGGGCTCCAGAGGAAGGGGTTGTCCAAGGCATGGAGGTGGGTAGTCAAGGGTCAGGGGGACATGACCTGAGAGGGAGCCCAGTGATCAGTGCTTGAGCTCCAATGCCTGATCAAACAGGGTGTGGTTGGAGGAGCCAAGTTATGCAGAGTCTTAGTCAGTGTGACCTGTTGTTGCTGGCTAAGTGATGAGGCCCAACGTGGGGAGCCTGGGAGGCAGAGGTTGAGAAAATATACCTGAAGATAGACTGACCTGACCATCCATGCCACCAGAACTTAGAGAAGAGGAAGGCCACAGTGCCCTGGGCTGGTCAGTAAAACAGGGAGGTCTGAACGTGGATGACCAGTGTTTGCCCTTTTGACCCTTCAGTGCAGGGTCCTACATCTTACTTCACCACTGGTCCATTTTCAGGATTCTCCTCTACAATCCTCTTTGCCAATTCCTAGTTCCCAGGCTTGTTTGAGAGGCAGTAATCACAACTGAGCTTGCTTCCCAGGCGGAAGGATGAAATCCACATACGGTGCTTGGCTAGCCCCACATGCTGGTCTCAGAACTCTTAGGGTATCCAGGTAGACAGAGTGCTGGGATGTAGAGTCAGGTGGACCTAGTTGTGGAGACAGAGGGTGAGGGAAGAAAGAAAGAGATGAAGAAGGAAAGAGTAAGGGTGAGGAGAGAAGGAATGCTTGAGGGCCTACTAGGTGAGAGACACTGAGGTAGAATTTTTCCTGTGTTGTCTCATTAAATCTGCCTTATCACGTTATGATGATATCACCATCGTCCCTGTTTACAGAGGTAAACACTGAGGCTCCAGGGTTCACAGGTTCCACAGGTTGCTGAGCCAGCCAGTGAGACCAGGCTGGCCAGGGCCCTCTGCTCCAAGGCCTAGTGAAAGCCAGGAACTCTCTTCAGATGTGGTCTTCTCTCCCACCTCCCCATGCTCAGGCATCTTCAGGATTTTCTTGTTCCCCTTTGCCTGCCTGTTTCTGGGGAAGCTCCAGATAGCAGCCCCCACCCCCACTGCCAGGAGGTGTTTGCTGGATCAATGCCAAGTGCTGACCTACTGGGCTTTCCTTCCAGTGCCAGGTGACCGTGGTGACAGAGCCTCCGCCTCCACCCCCACCCCAGCAGCTGCCCACCCCAGGCAGTGAACAGATTGGGTTTTTGAAGACCATCAACTGCTCCTGCCCAGCTGGAGAGAAGGTACCATCCACAAGGCACCCTCAGTCCCTAGCTCCCAGCCCCCAGCCCCAGAAGAAGCAAGGTAGGGCTGGTCCACAGGACCCTGACAGTACAGGTGGGAGTTTCCCATCATGCACCTGGCCTGCCAGCACAAGAGGACCCCAGGCTCTCAAGGACTTTCTTATTCAGAGCATGTTCTTGCGTCTCTTGTTTCTTGACTTTTTTGTGTGCACAAAGGAAGGAGAGGTCCTCAGACCCAGCTCTAATGAATGGTGATTTTTTTGAAGTAAATAATGTATTCCTGTGGTTTTTCTGGCTTTTGTGTGTGTCATCTTCATTCAAGAGCAGCTAAATAAAACTAGATGTGGTGTAAGAATAAGACTCAGAATAAGACAGTGAATGAGGATTTAGATGTGTTTTGCGGTAACATGTCTTCATTCCTTTCTTCTCAATATTTTCTTTAATTAGCCACATTCTATAATCTGGAATGCATATAAATTTTATAACATGTACATATGTACTATAATTTTATGTATTTGTTTCTAGTTTTTAAAAATGTTACAGTTCAATCACCACCACCACCATCCATGAGACTAGATTAGATGTCTTACTGTGTGCCTGAGGTGCTGATTTAGTTTCTTTTTCTAGACAGTGGCTCTTGATAAAGAGAGGGGGAAAAAGGTTCTTCAATATTTGAGCAGAAGGAACATAAAAATTTGCACAAGGATAACACAAAGTAGAACTGTGCCAGAAAGGTCAATAAGAGGTTCTGCTGGGTCCACAGCCCCAGGGCCCTTCATCTTCCTTTAGGTGCCAGCATATGGGAAGGAGACAAGGGATGCACAGACTTAAGAGATGAATTGATGGCTGGAATTAACTGGAGTGGGCACATTTTAGGCATTTCAGTACCAGTTTTCTTTCCATAAGCCTGTCCTGGCACACAGACTGGCTTCTTTTCCTTCTCTCCTCCCTTCTGTTCTCCTTTACACCCTGGCCTCTTTCTTTTTATTCTACCAAGAAAACCAGACCTTGGGAGACAGGGAGCTCTCAGTCAAGTTGAGTGTCCAGTCCCAGCCGCCTGACCTGCTAGAGACCCAAGCCAGAGACCCACTCGGCCTGCTGTGCACCGAGGCTGGTTCTGGGTAGGGGGTCATGTTAAGACATGCCCTGGTCTTGTGCCCAGGTTAGGGAGTGGAGGGGGCAAAAGCAGGAGACAGCACCTGACAATGGCTCCTGCTCTCTCCATCCCTCAGCAGGCTAACTTCCACAGCCTGTGGAATCCAGTGGCTTAAGTCTACCTGTGGATCCAGTGATTCTCACATATCAGTGAAATAGAAGCAACTGTCTAAACTCTAATCCATTGGAATCCTTGTTTTCAGTTAAGAACCCAAATGGGGCCACGTACAGTGGCTCACATCTATAATTCCAGAACGTTAAGAGGCCAAGGTGGGAGAATTGCCACTGCACTTGAGCCTGGGCGACAGACACTGTCTAAAAAGAAACAAATAAACAAACAAAAAACCAAAAAACCAAATTCCAAATGAGAAGGGTGTAAGGTCACAGCATTGTGACATTTTGATCATTAGCCACGGTACACATGGACAGTCTGCCAGAGAGCACACCCACACCCAGCTCTGCCCTGTGGTCCAACAAGTTGCCCACTGCCCTTCCCATCCATCTGTTACTCTCCAGCTCACAAATGCCCCGAGGTCCCCCCCACAACCTCCTTGGAGTGACTTAAAGACATCCCACCACCCACTACTTCACCCTGTGTGACCCAGCTGGGTCCCAGTTGCCTTTCTAGCCTCACCTAACTCCAATTTCCCCTCCCAACTTCTAGGCCAGGCAAGAACTTCTTCTGGTTCCCTGGAGAACTCAGGATCTTTCCTGCCCTCCTGTATTTGCATAAGCAACACCTACCTGGACCATCTCTCCCCACCCCCACCTCTTTCACCTACCTGCTGCCTGTTCTTCTTCAAGATATCCCATGGAATTTTCTTCTGAATATGTTATCTTACAATTCCTCTTTCTTCCTTCCTCCTGCCTTTCTTTCCTTCTTTCTTTTCTTCTATTATTCACCATCCAACTACTCAATAACTATTATCCAGCACCTGCTATTTCCAAGACACTGAGTTTTTCTCTCCTGGTGCTTTCGTCTACCAAAACAGTTCTCCCACTGGATTGAAAATGCCCCCTTGTCTTTACTTCTAGAAAATCCTAAGTTCCAGATGGCAGAGATCGAATCTTGGCATGTCTGTATTTTCAGCTACTAATGTATAGCCTGGTACAAAGAAGGCTACTAAATAATAGCTGGGTGATGGATAGTCAGTCAGGGTATGAAGAGATGGATGGATAGGAGGTGGAGGGACAGATGGGAAGGAGAGATAAAGGAACACATCCTCTCTTCCTCCAAGGCAGAACAAGGTCTGGCTGTTCAAGGGTTTCAGTAAACTTACACATTCTCAGTCTCACACCCTGGGTGGCATTTCTCAATAATTCATTCCTTCATTCACTCCATCATACCTTTTTTCTGACCACAGACATGAAGCACCTGCTGGGTGCTTATGCTGTGCTGTACACCAAAGTTGTTAGACAAGTAGAATATGGCCCTCAAAAATCCTATAGTCTGCTATCTGGTTAGGAAACCAAGAGCCCTGAGGCCTGTCTTAGCCCCAGGGAGCTCAGATCAGGCCTGCTGGATAACTTCCCAAGCCCATGGGTAAGTGGCTTGCTTCTCCCCTCACCCCTAAGAAGGCCACTTAGCGTGAAGAGCTTCACAACAACCTGATTAAGAAGGTGTTGCTTCTTTCTCCTCCATCTTCATTTCTGTAAAAAATGCAACATGAAAAGCTTAGGAAGTCTGAGAGTTTCTCCTAGGAGGCAGAACTTTGACCACAGGCAGACTTTATTTGCGAGGGTTTAAAGCCTCCATTGAGTTTGCAAAACATTTAGATCATTCAGTTAGGTAGGCGTGTTGCCTCTGGAGTCCGTGCTTACATCTCTATACCCAGACATCATGTTGCATGTGAACATACATGGTGTTCTTAAGGGCACTATGTGAGGATAATCACACACAAAAATATATATCTTTATATGCAAGTGCCAATGTCATCTGTGAATGAATGTTTAAAAAAAAATCTGTCCCTGAAGTAGCCAAGAATGCAACTCTGAACAGAGTGTAGATTGTTGTGAGTGCTGGGCACAGGCAGTGATGTGCACATGAACATAGTGTCCTTTTTCTTTAATACGGTGCTATTCACACATATCAAATTATATGAATCACATTGCATTTGTTTTCAGTATGACAATCTTTACTTGTATCCACAACTTACAGATCACATTTTTAAAAATCCACCAAGATTTTTCCACATTTTAAAATCTGAGCAAAGTCTGTATTTAGAAGTAGCTTACAGGCTTGTCTTGTTTTGCATTTTCGTGAGCAATAATTACTTCAACTAATAGCAGGCAACATAACTCTTTGTTTTTAATTGAAGTGATGGTATATTTAGATAAAAATAACCTAAGGATATCATTTTGGGTGTTTGTGTATTTATTTATATTAGATATTGGCAAATTGTAATTGCATATATTTGTGGGATAAAAAGTGTGCTATAATACATGATATAATGTGGCATGATTGAATCAAGCTAATTGACATATCCGTCACCTCAAATACTTAAAATTCTTCCTTCTGTCTGAGACATGTATTCTTTTGACCAACATGCCCTCTGTAGCCCCTGGTAGTTATCACTCTGCTTCTAAATGTGCAGCTATTTTAGTTCCTTATATTAACCGCAACATGCTTTATTTGTCTTTCTGTGCCTGTGTTTGCTTGCTTTTTTTTTTTTTTTTTAAGAGTTAAGAGTACATGTAAGGACTTACCACATAAGTAAATTGCACGCACTGAGGTTTGGACTTCTAGTGGGCCCTGTCTCCCTCTGATGGTGGACCTGCTACCCAGTGTGTTGTCGTGTGCACTCCCTTCCTTCCTCCCTTCCCTAGCAGTGTCCAGCATCTGCTGTACCCACACTCGTGCTTATGTGATCAATGATTGGGGCCTGCTTATGAGTGAGAACAGGTAGTATTCAATGCTTTGTTTCTGTGATAGTTCACTTAGTATGATGGTCTCCAGCTGCATCCATGTTGCTGCAAGGACGTGATTTTGTCCTCTTTATGGCTGCGTAATATTCCATTGTGTATATATACCACATTTCTTTACCCAGTCCATTTTTGATGGCCACCTGGCTTGGTTCCATGATTTTACTATTGTGAATAGTGCTGCAGTGAATATCTGTGTGCAGGTTATTTTGACCCACTGATGTCTGCCTCTGGAGACTGTGTAAAAGTTTTCCCACAGCAGAAGCTTTCAACACCAACATCCTTGTTCAATTCATTGATCAGCACTTGGCTTACTAAAGGGCTAGCTTTTGAGCTTGTGGAGTAGATGTCAAACAGTGAGGAAAGAAAAATAATTTTTTTTTTAGTTGGAGTCTCACTCTGTCACCCAGGCTGGAGTGCAGTGGCATGCTCACAGCCACCCCAGCATTGGCCGCCTGGGCTCAGGCAATCCTTTCATCTCAGCCTTCCAAGCAGCTGGAACTACCACACAGGCTAATTTTTTGATTTATTGTATGGGATGAGGTCTCTCCAGTTTGCCCTGGCTGTTCTCAAACCCATGGGTTCAGGCAATCCCCTCACCCTGGCCTCCCAAAGTGCTAAGTTTAGAGGATTGAAGAAGTTTTTTAGATTTTACTTTATTTTAAAGATGTGGGGTACAATTTAGGGTTAGGTATACAAAAGGTCATTGTACAGGTAAAGTTTGAACCTCCCTTTGGTCCCCATTTCACTTGGTTTGAGATCAGACACCCTTATTGATGTTGTGTTCCCCTCCTCCCTCCCCCGGCAGTATCCTGCTACTGCCAATCCCTCTTATAGTATGTATGTTCAATGTTCAGGATCTGCTTATGAGTAAGAAATTACACTGTTGGTGGGAGTGTAAACTAGTACAATCTCTGTCGAAAACAGTGTGGCGATTCCTTAAAAATCGACCTTCCATGTGACCCAGCAGTCCCCCTTCTGGGAATATACCTGGAGGAACACAAATCATTCTAAAAAAAGATACCTGCACGTACATTTTTATTGCAGCATTATTCACAATAGCAAAAACATGGAACCAACCATGCTGCCCATCAAGGGTGGACTGGATTTAAAAGATGTACATATACATGATAGAAGAAGGAGAAAATTAAAATGGAGTCTTACTTTTTTTTGTCTTTCTTTCTCTAGGGTGAAAAGGGATATGCTGGCCCCATGGGACTCCCAGGTCCAAAGGTTGGTACTGTCAGGAAAGAGGGACAGTTTAGAACCTCACTAATCCTTTGTTTTGCTCTCTGTGTAAAGCAAAAAATGGTATGTTCGATTGCTGTCCTGCCAGTATCTTGCCTCAGAGCTGGAAGCATAAGAGCAAGTGGTAGGAAGTCTGGAAACTTTGACTCTCTTAACTACTCAGAACCTCTATTTCTCATACTGAAAATAGGAGTGAGAATTGGTTGGATTACTGGAGGCCTGGCTCAGAACTCCTTTGCCCCAACAGGTTTAACTCTCCATGGTCAATTAACTTTGCAGCAATTGTTTCAAGCTGCTGTATGAATTTTCAGGGGTTGGGTCTTTAAGATTTCTTTAAGTTGCACAAAAATTATTTTATACAAAATTTCCAAACTCACTAATTGCACCAAGCCAGGTGCTCCCTTGTGGGGCCCTCCAACCATGGTCATGGAGCAAATTCCTTCCTCTCTATTATTCCCCAGGTTTATAATATTTATAAAGGCCAAGTGGAAGAGTTCAGCATTGTCATGCATTTGAAAGAGGGCTAAGTATGGGGGTGGAAACACTAGAGACAGATGGACCTCTTCCTCCCCTCCCTTCTCTCTCTTCTTCTTCCTTCCCTTCCCTCTCTCTTCCCCTCCCTTGTCTTCTTTTCCCCCTTCCCTTGTGTTCCCTTCCCCGTCCCTCCCCTCCCCTCCCCTCTCCTTCCCTCCCTGTGTCTGTCTCTCTTTCTGTGTCTTTGTCTCTCTCTGTATCTCTGTCTCTCTGTGAGTGTCTGTCTCTCTCTCCCTTTCCTCCTACCATCTCCCCTCTCCTCCTGCATTTTTAAGTTTGATTTCATTCATTCAGTGAATAGTGAACACTTGCTAAGGATCAAACACTGAGGTCAACACCAAGGTTCGAGTATGGTTTTAGATGGGGCCTCTCCCTCACATGCCTGAGTCTGCTGATGCAGACAGACCAGTGAGTAAATGGAATCAACTTTATTTTGCCCATTTATTTCCCATCTTCCATCCTCTTCCATTGGATTCCAATGACAATGACTGTTCACCTGCTGTATGTCAGGTTGGGCTGGGGGAGCAACACAGATTAAGGATTGCCATTGCTGTACTCACTGCTATAAGTATAGGGTCAGCATATAGTAGGTGGTTAATTCTTGTTGAGTGAATGATTCCAAATTCTACATCGACCCTGCATGAGAGGCACCATTAGTTCCATTTTGCAGATGAGAAGATCAAAGGCCAAGATGATAAAAATAACTTGCTTAAGAAATTACTTCTTCTTGCCCATCTCTTCTTTTCTGTTCCTCCTCTTTTCTCTTTCTCTTTTTGCTTTCCCTTTCCTCTCCCTCCTGACTTTGTGTGTTCCTCCTTGGCCTCCCTCTCTGGTTGCACATCCTCTCCCCTCTGCCCCAATTCTGCTATGATGAGGCACCATGGACACACACACACACACACACACACACACACACACACACATGCCTTCTTGGATCTCTTCCCCTGGTGAGTCCTCTTCCTGTTCTCATGGAAAAGAGCTCAGAGTGGTCCAGGTGCCAGGAGGTCACTGTAAGAAGACAGCAGAGGCTTCTGCATCACTGAGCATCTCTTGGCAATAACCTCAGATTCTCAGTTGTCAGACAAGAAGAAACAGTAAAGACAACTGGGGGCTTCCTGGGCCTCTAAGTAGAAAATGTTTGTCTGGAACAGTGGCTGTTTAGTAATGGCTGTGCCTCTACTGTGGTTGAACAGATCAGGGTAGTACAGGCAGCAGAGCCCTCAGGTCGACACTAGGAGAGAAGAGACAGGTGGGAGGAGAGGAACCCTGAAAAGGAAAACAGATATACAAGCCTGGCTTCCACATAGCTGATTTGCAACACTGGTTCAACAGTGTCCCCAGTCAAAGTGTCCCAACCCCTTGTTAAGACTCTAAGCCAACAGCTACGGTTCTCAATGGCTTCATTGCCTAGATAGAGCTTGGGCTTTGTATGCAAACATAGCCTGAAGTCAGCTGGGTGCCAAGGCTCGGTCTTGATGTGGGGATATAATAGCAAATGACAGAGAGCCCTTTCCCAGGACTCACAGGCCAGGGGGAGAGAGACATGAAAGAGAGGGGTAGAATACAATGTGGAGAGTTAGGATGGAGAGAGTTCAGAAGCCTGAGGGGACATAGGGGAAGGGCCCTACCTGACCTGGTGAGGGCTTTGGGACACCTTTCTGCCAATGGCCCTGACTAACTGGGTCCAGTAGAATAAATAGGAGCTGCTCAGGACAAGGAAGACAGTGAAGAGCATCACAGTCAAAGGGAACAGCATAAGGAAAGTAGTCAGGCGTTCTTAGAGTGTAAATAATGAGATAGGAATGAAAAGAGGTACAATTCCAGGTCAAGAGAAAGAAAAAAAAATGAAACCAAGGGCACCTGTTTTCTGCACCCACACCTGTCTTAAATTGGCTCATGAGGTGGCAGGAAAGCTGGGTTCCAGTTCAACATTTGGTCTATGGTGAATTTTTTTCTTCCTTGCAGACATTGTTTTCTCCTCTGCCTCCCTTCCTTCTCTTCTTGGGCAATTTTGAGTATCTGGAGTGCTCAAGGCAGCAACTTGTTATACAAATTGAATGCCCAGGTGACCCCGGTTGATACCTGGCAGTTTTCAAAGCACCCTCATGCTTTTAATCTTGTGTACCTGCAATTACATGCCCACTTACAGAGGAGAAGCCTAAGGCTCAAAGACAGTAATGATCTGCTCATGTAAGGTGGCAGAACTGGCATTTCAACCTGGGGCTTCTACCTCCCCTTCTGGAGCCCTGGCCATGAGATCTGTGGTCGGGTCATTCCCCAGGATGAGTGTGCAATGCTACTGTCTCAAGATGTCCCTCAGTTCCTGGGATTGTGATGTTGGAGGATGACTTAGATGCTTCCTCCTTTGCTGGGGCGGGACATGTGGCCTCATTGTACAGATGGCAAGGATGAAATCAGCTGCTTCTAGAGAACCAGAGCAAGGTTGGTCGGGATGGCCTGTGTGCAGGAGCTCTGTCAGAGAACCTAATCCAATCCTTGTCTCTTGTCTCAACCCCTCAGGGAGACACAGGAGCCACTGGGCCCATTGGCGCTCCTGGACCCAAGGGAGAGAAAGGTGACATGGTAAGTAGAGTGTTGGCAGTCTGCATGGGTTAGCCTCAGGGCTGGTGTGCAGGATCCAGGACTCCCAATCATGCAAATCAGCAAGTTTGGGCTGAATGCTTGGTCGGTGCCGGGTACTGTGCCCACTCATTGTTGGATAAAGCCTGAGCGCTTCTCTGTGAGCATGGAGGTTTTCTTGGACACATTCTGGGCATGGCCTTAGTGGCCTCTGTAGCCTTGTTTCTTTCCACTCCATCCCCAGAATTCTATGCTTTCAAATCATCACAGTTATGATCCCCCAGATTGGTCATTCCATTGTGCCTTTCCTCACTTTGGCCATTACACAGCCTCTTTCCTCTGCCAGGAATAATTTTTTTCTCCAACTACCCCTGTTTTCTTCCCACACTTTCCTCCCTGGTTCATGTGTTCTCATTATTCAAACTCAACTTGTGTCTGATCCTCTAGGGCGTCTCTCCAGCTCCCCAGCTTGGTGCTCCCACATCATCAGCCATGTCCTCTATCTCGGCGTCGGGGGGTGGGGGGGGGAGAGGGGAGCTCCCAGGTGTCCTGGTCTGTGATTTATCATCACGGCATTTCCAACACCCGGCCTAGCTGATTTGTATTCATAAATCTTTAGGCTGATGTGTGAACGCAATTGACAGTGGGTCAGGAAAGACCTGGGGAGATTAACCAGCCACAGTTCAGAGAGGTCCTCAGGAGACAAATGGCTAAGAAGCAAATTCTGGCTCTACCAAGAAATATACTTAACATTTCAGTTTCCTCATCTGTAAAATAGGAAAGATCAAACAACCTGTATTATAGCATTATAAAGATTCAAAAAACTAATACAGGTAAATGGTTTAGAACAGTACCAGAAGCATAGTGAATGCTGTTATTGCTGTCATGATTACCTGGCATGGTGAAAGCACTAACCCCCACCCTCCCACATGGAATCATTTGGTATCAATAGCATACATTTGGCGTCAGATGAACTATAGTAATTGTCCTTGACTCCGGGCTTTATTAACTGTGTGACCTTGGGCAGATCTCTTAACCTCTCTGAAAGCTTCATTTATCTAGTAGCAAAATGTTTACAAAATGTCTGGTCCATAGAAGATAGTGAATGACAGTTGTCTTTTTCATTGTGTGAGTGATTATAGTTAGTTGTTTTTAGGTTCTCAGTGCTCAGAGGGAAACCCCAGACAACAAGACAAGTCTCTTCCCTAGAAGAATTCACCTGGCATATGTGGTTCACCCCATGTTACCATCACCCTCATTATTGTAGTGCTACCATCTGCTTGTCTTTGCAGGGGCTTCATGTGGATTCTCTCATTTACTCCTTATAACAGTTTTTAACACAGTCTCCTCATATCACTAATGGGAATGACACTGATTTTTCAGGCTTGAATGACTTGCCTTCAATCACAGAGACTGGATGTGGCAGAATTTGTATCTGCATCTCTCTTGGTCTGAGCCTTGTGCTCACTTGGTAGTGCTTCACTTCACCCACACATGCATACCCACCTGCTATGTATAGGTAGGAAGCGCCTGCTGTGTGCAGAATGACATGGAAATAAGAAGAGTTGGTAACACATAAGAGCACTTGTTCATGCCTAACAGATTTGCAGCTAATTTAATTCTCATATCTACTTAGTGAGGTGAAGCCTAGTGAAATACCCACCTTACAGGTGAACAAACTGGAGCTCAGAAAAGCTCCAGGGTGGTTTATAGGAACTCACTTGGCAGGCAGTAAGCGTAGGAAATGCCAAGCCTGCTCCTCTTTCCTCCATTTCTGGAACAAGACCTACCCTATATCGTGCACCATCTCTAGTTACATTTAGAGAAAAGGAGATCAATTGGGAGAACATTCTCAAATTAGAAAAAAATCACTAGAATTGCCAGAGAACAAACATGGATGTACTCTGGAGCCTTGCAGTCTGGGAAGTGGTCCATGGCATCATTATCATGACTCCCTGTCTGAAGTCATCAGCTGATCTATTGAGGCCAAATAGCACTGTGACTGAGAAAGCTGCACTAGCATCAGATAGCCTACATTAAAATTCTGGCTCCATGACATGCTAGCTCCATGAACTGAATAAGTTGCTAGAACTTTCTAAGCCTCATTTTTTACATCTGTGAAACAGATATTAAAACGATAACTATAGAGGTTCTACTTCTGAAATGGCAGCATGAGGAACTTTATGAATCCACTACCCAACAAAATATCCATACTTGGTAAAATTTCAGCATTTCTAACCTCCTGCATCCAAAGTTACAGAGACAAAATTCTTGGCAGGAACAACCAATAGATGGAGCTCTCTTCCTTTACCTAATCCCTATTTACAGGGTGGAGGTTCTACCTTAGACATGACAAGCTAAGAATGTTGGGGTCCTGATAAACCCCATTGCAGCTCTCTTATAGGGTGGTGTCTCCACCCTGAAGGATGCTTAAACTGAGAAAAACCAGATGCTACTGCTCCTGCCCCACAAGGGTGCCACTTCAAGATAAGGGAACCACTATCCCAGCTCCCAGCTCCAGAGCAGGGACTCAGGTATTCAGCCCAGAAGACAAACAATCCTTAAAAGCAAAGAACTCTGAAGCTCTCCTCAAAGGCACTGATTTTGAAACAGAATGTGGTAAAGCATAAGTGAAAGTGTGAGGGTTCTTGAGAAGCAAAGGAAATTTTGGTGGTAAGCAATTAAGAGAAGACTTGTAGCTCTATGGTAAACCAGAAGTTTACCATAGCTGGTTGGTCAGAAAGAACCAGGGAAAAATACTGTTAAAATATTGGTTCTTCCTTCCTGACATCAGACAAATACCTCAGTGACTGCCCATGCAATTTAGTTGGACCTAATTGAGTTGGATCAGACTGGAGTAATTAATGCCATATAGCATTGTGGAAAATAATAATCAGCTGAAAATTAGTTGAACTTAAGAGGATTTAACATCAACAGAAGAAAATGCCTTAACAGAGAAATCAGGAAAAGAGACTTGCTGATACCATTGTCATCCCGAGATGACTGTGTGCATGTCCAAGGTCATGTACCTGAAGATTGGTATCTGAGGTGTAACACTGGAGAAGAGGGATATATCAGCCAAGTCAACAAGCAAATAAACAAGAAAACAACAAAAACAATTCCTAGAAGGGGCAGTGTTTCTATCCAAAGTTGCTACAATCTATTATTTAAAATGCCCAGTTTTCAACAAAAAATTATGAGATGGGCAAAGAAACAGCAAAATGTGACTCATACACAAGAGAAGAAAGCAGACAATAGAAGCTGCCTGTGAGAGGACACAAAAGTTGGATTAACATATGAAGGCTTCCAAGTAGTCATTATAATCATGTTTAGAGAACTAAAGGAAATCATGCCTAAAGAAGTAAAGGAAAGTATGATGACAATATTCTATCAAATACAGAATATCTATACAAGATAAAAATTTAAAATAATCAAGTGAAAATGAAAAAAAATCACTAGAGAGTCTCAACAGTAGATTTGGACTGGCAGAAGATCAGCATTCTTGAAGATAGAACAATAGAGATTATGTAATCCAAAGAACAGAGAGAAAAAAAATAATGAAGAAAAATGAACAAAGCCTCAGAGAAATGTAGGGGACCATAAAATGCACAAATATGCACCTCATGGAATTAAGGAAGACAAAGAGGGAAAGAGACAGAAAAATAATGGAAATCATGGCTGGAGACGTTTCAAATTTTATGAAAAGTAGTAACTTACACATTTAAGATGCTCAATATATTCCAATTAAGTTAAACAGAAAAAAAGATCTATCCTTCCAACATTATAGTAAAAGTGCTGAAAAACAAAAGAAAAAAAAAAAGCAAAAGCAACAAGAAAAAAAGTTTTATCATGTACAAGTAAACCCCAGTAAGATTAACAACTGACTTGCCATCAGAAATAATTAAGGCCAAAAGGTGGAATGGCAAGTTCAAAGAGTTAATTATAACCATGTATGGTTGAGTGTTGAATAAATATGCATGCAACACACACACACACACACACACACACACACACACACACACACACACAAGCACAAAAAAGGAGGAAGAAGGAGTGAAGTTAAAAAGGAGTATGTTTCTTCATCCCCCTGGAAGTTTTTATAATTCTGAAGTAGATCCTATTAAGTTATTATGTACATGGTAAATGCTAGAGCAATTCCTAAGAAAATAACTCAAAAATATATAGTTAAATATCACTAAAGTAATTATAATGTTATACTAGAAAGTACTCAATCCCAAAATGAGCAATAAGGGGAAATAAAGGAACACAAATGAGACAGGAGACACATAGACAACAAAAAGTTAAATGGCATATATAATTATACATATTAATAACATTGTGTGTAAATGTGTTAAGTGAATCAACTAAAAAGCAGGGGTATTCAGACATGTTTTATAAAAACAAGATCCTGTCTATAGAAGACATACTTTAGAGTCAAAGATACAAATAGTTTGAAAGTAAATGGTGGAAAATATGCAACCTGAAAATTAAAATTAAAAAATTGAAGTGAATATACTAATATCAGACAAAATAGACTTTAAGACAAAACAAAATGTAATAGCAATAAAGAAGGACATTTTATAATGGTAAGAGGGTCATTTATACAAATATATACATATACACAGAGCACCAAAATACATGAAGCCAAAACTGACAGAATGAAAATGAGAAATATACAACTCAGTGTTTAGAGACTTCGATGCCTCACTTTCAATAATGGATAGAATAACTAGGAATGTAGAGAAATTGCTGCTTTCATAGATTGCTTGTGTAACATGGTGCAGTTGCTTTGGAAAACTCCCTTGCAGCCCTCAAAAGGTTAAACATAAAGTTGCCATAATTCCCAGAATTTAATTCCACTTCTAGGTATATACCCAAGAGAAATGCAAACATATGTTTACACAAAAACATATATATATAAATGTTTATAGCAGCATTATTTATAGCAACCAAAAGTAGAAACAGCCCAAATATCTATCACCTGAAGGACAGTTAAATAACATATATGCTATATTCATACAATGTCATATTATTTTGTGATAAAATGGAGCATTTGTACATGGTCCAACACGGACAAACCTTGGAAAGAGTCAATAAGTGAAAGAAGCCAATCATAAAATGCCATATATTGTATGAATCCATTTATATAAAATTCCCCAAATAGGCAAATGTATAGAAATATAAAAACAGATTTGTTTTCCTATGGCTGGGGGTGGGAGGAATTGGGGAGTTACTGCTAACAGGTATGGGTTCTTTCTAAGGTGATAAAAATATTCTAAAGTTTATTGTGGTGATTGTTGCACAACTCTGTAAAGATACTAAAAATCATTGAGTTGTACGTTTCAAATAGGTAAATTCCATGGAATGCAAATTATACTTCTGTAAAGTCGATATGGAAACATAGACCAATATCTATAATATTGAATAATTGGAAGAATTGAATGAGATGATTCTCATGAGAGTGCACACTCAATAAACAATAGCTGTCATCTATTTTAGAGGCTACTGGGCAGTGCTGATAAGAAAACATCCGGTTCTTTCCAGTCTCAGGTTGATGCTGCCACATGCGATGCTGTGATATGAAGATGCTCTGTAGTAAATCTTTGCTTTCTTCTTTCTCTCTTCCAGGACAGAGGATCTTTTGCCCGAGGAGAAAAAGGTGAAAAGGTAAGCATCTCCCTTTTATCACACTGCTCCAAGGGAACAGGACTGGGACTTGGGTTTGGGAGAGGTGTGTGCTACTGTTATGCTGCCTGGAATCTGAGTTGGTGAGAAGAGCTCTCCTGGACCTGGGATCAGTGCGTGTCCTCCTTGACTTGGTAATTGAAGCACATTCAGTGTTCAGCAGAAAGAGAGAAGGTGGAAACAGACGACGGTGGTTGGAGAATTGAGAAGAAAGACACACACATGTCTTGGGGGAATCGGAATATTCCACTGGAGACGCTGATATCTGTCCTGTACCCAAGAAGTGGAAGTTTGGGGGCAGGGCCTCCTAGGCAGAATAAAGAAGATGAGGAGAACTTGTAGTAAGAATAAAAAGTTTTTCCCAGCTATGCATGCTGCACCTCCTTTTACCTTCAATAGATCATGCACAGGCTTGGCAGATCCTGGGAAGTATGAGATTCCTTCTGAAGAGGAAATACTTCTTAAGGTACTAGCCTATGAGGAGAAAGAAAAAGCAGAGAGCCACCAAAAATGCCATTTTTACTCATACCAACTATTAAAAAAATACATAGATGATAAAAGCACCTCCCCTTTCCGTGAAGAGGCAGCAACAAGATTTTACAGTGCACACATGTGTTGATGATCTCATTGAAGTCCAGGCACTGTAGACTCAGAACATAACACGGTTGCATGCTAGGAGGGTATTCATTGCTCAGAGGGACTCACAGCAACCTCTTGCATAGGGCTGATTATGTAATGCAATGCAGGTGCCACTCCATTAAGCTACACTAGAAACAGCTTTCGTGTGGCCAGCTCATTCTTTCCCTATAGGCACTCTTATGCATCTAAATTACTCCAAGAAGATAAATCAAGGGTATGCACAAACATATACCCACGTGTACTTTATAAGTGAGACTAGAAACAGACACGTAAGTGAGAAATGTATAAGTGAGGCTTGAAACAAACATAATGCTGTGCAGTGGACAAAATACATGACTGGACAGCTAAATAATGTTAACAACATTCAGTGATGCAGAATGGCATTTAGAAGAATTAACAATCTAGAAAATGCCGGCATTATTTTGTTAATTTTTAAAACACATTGCAAAATATATACACAATATGACCCTAGTTGTGTGGGCTGTGTGTGTGTGTGTATGTGTGTGTGTGTGTGTGTGAGAGAGAGAGAGAGAGAGAGAGAGAGAGACAGAGAGAGGGAGAGAGAGAAGGAAAGAAGGAGGGGGTGAGGAGAGGGGAAGGGGAGGGGAGACTAGAGAAAAATTAACGCTGGAGACAAGCTTCTATTATTAACCACTGGTTGTCTGTGGGTGAAAAGTTATGAGAATATATTTTTCCTCCCTTACATTTCTTTGTGTCCTCATTTATTTCACAATGAACTCCCCGGCACGCCATTGAAGCACAGGCATACATATAAAATAACTACTATAAAATAATAAAATGTGATTTGAGGGATGCTATGATTAACATAGCGTAAGCTACAGACCAGGCATATCTGGTTTGTTCTGTGCTCTGCCACTCTCTAGCTCTGCAATAAGATTTGGAGTCTCCATTTCCTGATCTAAAAATGGGGCAGATGACAACCACTTTTCATGATTTTTGTACACACCTGAAACGTAGGTGCTGATATTCAGCAGCTACTTTCTTGTTTTAATTTAAAACTTGTTTTAGTTTTATTTTATTGTGGTAAGGACACTTAACATGAAATGTACTCTCTTAACAAATTGTTAAGTGTCCGATACAGTATTGTTGATTATAGGCCTGATGTTATACAGCAGATCTCTAGAATGTATTCATCTTGCTTAACTGAAACTTTATACCCATTGATTAGCAAGTCACCCGTTCCCCCTGCTCCCAGCCCCTGGAAACCACTATTCTACTCTCTGATTCTAGGAATTTGATGATTTTAAGGACCTCATGTAGTGGAATCTAGTAGTATTTGTCTTTCTCCATCTGGCTCATGACACTTAGCCTAATGTCCTCCAGATTCATCCATGCCATCAAAAATGGCAGAATCCTCTTCTTTTTGTAAGCTGAATAATATTTCACTGTGCATATATGCCACATCTTCTTTATTCATTCATCCACTGATGGACATTAAAGTTGTTTCCATATCTTGACTATCAGGAATTATGCCACAGTGAACACAAGAATGCTGATATCTCTTGAGATCCTGATTTCAGCTCTTGTGGATAAATACTCAGAAGCACAATTGTTAGATCATCTAGTAATGCTATTTTTAGTCTTTCGAGAAACCTCCATGCTGTTTTCTACAGCAGCAATACCATGTTGCAGTCCCACTAAGGGTGTTCAGAGCTACTTTTATTGTTGCTAGCATGCCCAGTTTCAATGGGCACAGACCCATGTACAGGATATTAACAGGACAACCAGGTGTTCCTTCCTTGTGTCAGAAGCTGGGGCTACTGGGGCCCTTGGGGTCAGAATACTCAGTCAGGGTGGAGCTTGCTGGGCAACACCGTCTGGATCTGTGACTTCCTTCCTATGTTCCTCCTGGGCCAACCTTCCCCCAACTAATGTGCTGTCCTTCTTATGTGTTCCTATTGCCAGGCAGGGACTGATGGCCTCCTTTCTCCCCATAGGTAGCAGGCCCATCACTGCCTCATCGGTTCTGGGTTGAGCTCATGCTAGGCAGCCTTGGTTGCCTGTTCTTCTTAGGCCTGAAATCACCTCCCTAGTGCCTAGAAACCTGCCCACCGTACCACATTTGAGGTCTTGATGCTGCCGGGGCATAGTTGTGGCCAGGAAGACCGCCTCACATATTTGTTGCTGGCAGGAGAGATAGACAGCTGACGTTGGCACTTCCGGCTCTGTCCTCGGTTGACATTTCCCTGCAGTTGGTATTTTTAGCAAAGTCTGAGTCTAGACTCTGCCACATCTTGGCTGTGTGATTTGGAGTGAGTCACCTCCCTCTCTGGGTCTCTCTTGCCTCATCTGTAAAACCGAGGAGGTAGGATGAGATGATGCATAAAAGCCCTTTCAGGCAGCAGCTCAGAGACTGGGGAATGAGCCCACCCCCAGCCTTTGCCCTCTAGGGCTCTTTTCTATAACTTGGAGTCTTTGTTTCTCCTCCAGGGATGAGGATACCAGGGTACACCAAGGGGACTGATAGCATCCACAGAAGGGAGAAGGCCCCTGTGACTCATGCACTTAGACGGAACTTAACAAACTGGCTTCTTCTCTTACTTTGTCTCCAAAGTAGTTGCCAGGTTCGGGGGGGATTGGATAAACTGGAGCCTGATGAAGCCAAATATCTAAATTCTCTTATTCTGGCTGTGTTTTTCATATTTTTGGAATTTTAATGAACCACTGTAACAGTGTGCATTGCCTTCTATATGCACCAGGTACCTGCTAAGCATAGTTCATACTTTATTTCTCATCATTAAGACAGTATTTCAAAGACAGCACTGTTGTGTCCATTTCACAGATAAGGAGAATATAGTGAGAAGGTCAAGTGACCTGCCCAAGGTCACACAGTTTGTAATTGGCTGGCAAACACAATCACTGATCAATACCTAAAATGAGGGGGTGCTGATTGAATTAATCTTCCCCTGCAGTTGAGGAAACTGAGGCTTAGAGCAGTAAGTGACCAGCCCAAAGTCACACAGTTGAAAAACTGTGAAAGAACTTAGCCTCCTGACTCTTCCAGATCCTCCCACTGCCTCCCTTTGCCTACCAATGTCTCAAGTCCATTCTTAGTGCCCATGTTCTTGGGCTGCATCTGTCCCTTGTTTTGAAATCTATCCTCTTCTCTAGTTCCTTCTCCCCTACACACACCATGTTCACTGCAGGGTTCCTGGGGCAGATGTCCCTCAATGCTTTACTATGTATGTAATCAAGGTGAGATATAGGGGGAGGCAGGCTTTTAGGGGATCCCCACAAGAGCTACCTGTAATCTAGGTGCTGAGGGAGTGTGGAAAAAGAGAAACAGGGAACAGATCCTCCTTCAACGTCTAGGAGATAGCTGGCACTAAATATGTGCTTGTTGGATGAATAAATGCATGAACTGTGGAACTCCATACAGCCAGGACCAAGAGCAAGCTCTTTCAGTGGAAGTTTCTCAGACCCTGGAGATGAACGTATCCAGCTTTCGATTCTGTCTTGGTCTCATGTTGACCACTAGCCTAGCCTTGGGCTACTTTAAACCTTCATTTTCTTTTCTTGAGAAGGGGACTATCATCCCTGCACTTTGGATGGCTGAGGTGGGAGGATTATTTAAGGCCTGGAGTTGCAGACCAGCCTGTGCAACACAGAAAAGACATCCCCCCCCAAAAAACAAAACAATACGAAGGGGGGGGGGTCAGGTAACAGTTTTTACCATAAAATGTTGCTGGGAAGATTAAAGGACAAAATACATACTAGGGTTGGGCACAGTGGCAGGCACAGCAAGTACTGAACTACTATCAATGAAGCTGAAGTTCTTGTTGCTCTATCATAATTTTCAATATTATCATGGTGATGAGGATGACAACATACACAGTCGTCACTCTGGACTGTTTTGCAGCAATTTGGATTGGAGTCATAAATAGCAGGCTGGGGGGGTGATGACCTGCAGTGTCTCCCCCCTTACCCTTGGTTTTCCATCTTGAGAAAAATAGTAACCCTGTAAGGACATGGGTGTGAGTTTTCCTCTGGGCAAACAGCTGCGTCAGTCCTAAGTTTTACAGTGATGTGGGCTGCAGAATCAACAGGACCATGGACCCCACAGGCAGGAAGAGATTTAGAAACAACAAAAACAAAGATAACGTGTGTGGTTTCCAATGAACTTTCCTGTGCCGCGTGCTAAGGATCTTTCTCCTCTGTGGGTGCCCAGAGCCTTCTGGGGAGGAACCCAGCAGCGCCACCAAGCCATTACTTCTTTCTGGAACCACAGCGCCCTCTAGTGGCCCGAATCTGGAGCTTTTGCTCCAGTTTCCTCTGCCAGGGTATGTGTGCTGTTCCTGGGTTATCCTTCTTTTCCTTAGAAA